GATGCTAGTCTGTTTTAATATTTAAATAAATGTAATCCATCATATTAACAAGCTAAAGAAAAACATCACATAATTACATCAACTGATGCAGAAAAAAACATTTGACAAAATTCGACACAAATGCATCATAAAAACCCTCAAAATAGTAGGCATAGTGGATAGTTTACTCAACTTGATACAAAAATCTTACAGTTAAATCATACTTAATGATGAAAGACTGAATGTTTTTCTTCTTCTGCTCCAACTAATAAGGGAGTTCACAAAGGTTTAAAGGATTAAAGGGTTAAAGATCAACCAAAACAATTAATTTTATTTCTATATGTATCAATGAAGAAATAAAAACAAAAATTAAAATTTTACATGAATTATAATCACTTGAAAAAAGATACACAAGTATAACTCTTAACAGAACATGTACAGGATTTGTGTGCTGGTAAAAGACATCGAAGATCTAAACAAATGAAGAGACTTACTATGTTCATCAACTATTATAGAAAAGTGAACATAGTAAAAATGTCAATTCTCCCCAGATTGATATCCAGGTTTAATGCAATTTCTATTAAGATCCCAGCAAAATTTTTAATAGTTGTAAACAAAGTTATTCTAAAATTTATATGGAAAAGCAAGGGAAGGAAAATAGATAAAACAAAATTAATCCCCTATAGTAATCAAGACTGATTGATATTTCTGCAGAGATAGACACACACAGATTCATGGAGCAGTATAGACAGTCCAGAATAGATCTACACCAACTCATTTTTGACAAAGGTGCAAAGAAATTCAATGGAGGAAGTATAGTCTTTTCAAACAATGGTGCTGGAGGAAGTCTATTGATAAGCAAAAACCAAAACAAACAAAAAAAGGAAAAAGAAGAAAGAAACTTGAAAAATTCTCACACTTTATACAAAAATTTGACCCCAGATAAATCATAAGTTTAAATGTGAAACTTTTAAAAGAAAACATATGAGAAAAATCTTCAGGAACTAGGGCTTGGTGAAGAGTTCTTACACATGACACCAAAAGTATTATCTAAAAAAGAAGAACATCAACAAATTGGATTTATCAAAATTAAAAACTTTTGTTCTGTAAAGTATCAGAAGCTATAGACAGTGAGAAAATATTTACAAGCCACATATATCACAAAGAACACATTATATTTTAGAACATATAAAGAGCTATCAAAACTCCACAGTAAAAAAAAATCTAATTATTAAATGGGTAAAAGACATGAAGAGACATTTTATCAAAGAGAATATAGATAGATGGCAAATAAGCCCACTGAATGGTGTGCAATCACTATCCACTAGGGAAATGCATATTAAGAGCATGATGAAATATCACTGCACATCTATTAAAGCAACTAAAATAAAAAATACTGACAGTGGTAAATGCTGGTGAGAATGCAGGTAAACTGGATTTCTCATACACTCACGGTGGGAATATAAAATGGTATAGTCCCTCCAGAAAATAGTTTAGTGGTTTCTTGAAAAACTTAACATACATTTGACACATGACTCAGCAATTATATTCCTGGACATTTATATCAGAGAAATGAAAACTCATGTTCACACAAAAACCTTATACAGATGTTCATAACAGCTTTATTTGTAGTAGCCTCAAATTAGAAACAGTCAAAATGCAAATAGTTAAGCAACTATTTACCTTCAATAGGCAAATAGTTAAATAAATGTTTGTACATCCACACCATGGACTACTACTCAGCAATAAAAAAAAATTGTTGATACATGCAACAGCTTGGATGGATCTTAAGTGCTTTATGCTGAGTGAAAATGCCAGTTTCAAAGAGTCACATAGTGTACGATTCCATTTATCTCACATTTTCAAAGTGAAGCTGTTATGTCGATGGAGAAGAGGTTAGTGGTTGTCAGATGTTGGGGTGATGGTGTGGGGAGAGGAGGTCGTGACTATAAAGAGTAGCACAGGGGATCTCTGTGGCAATGGGGTAGCTTGGTACTTGATTGCAGTGGTGGTTACACAAATCTACAAATGTGATAAAACATAGGCACAGAACTGCACAACATACTGTACCAATATCAGTTTCCTGATTTTGATATTGTGCTATAGTTATGTTACAGCAAAGAGGACTGGAAGACAAACAGAGAGCCACATGGGAGTACTGCAAAACAGGCTTTTATTACCCAGGTGGACTCAGAGGCTTCTCATCTCCAAATTCTGAGCAAAATGGGATTAAAGTATGGAGGGTTTTATGTGTTTTGTTAGGAGGGTGCTGGTGGTTACAGAAGCAAATGGTTACAAAGTCTGCACAAGATTGAGGTCCAGTCAAATGTTACTCTATAGTTGCTTAGTCATGCTATTTTGCAAAGTTTGCACAGCATTGAGATCTAGTCTATAGTCTAGTCACATTTGCCTAGACAATAGTTGCTTAGTCAGGCTATTTTGCAGTTATGCTACTATTAGGAAGGGAGTGGAAAAATTCTCCCTTACAGTTACTTAATATATAAAGTATTTGAAGAAATTGGGTAGAGGAGCATGCAGAATCTGTCTGTACTGTCTTTATAATTTTCTGTGAACCTATAATTCTTTCAAAGTAAAAAGTTTCTAAAAAGTGGCTTTCTGGCTGAAATTTAAAGCTCTCACAACACCAAATGCTGATGAGGACGTAGAACAACAGGGACTCCCATTCATTGTTGGTGGGAATGCAAAACGGTACAGCCACTTTGGAAGACATTCTGACAGTTTCTTACAAAGCTAAACATACTCTTACCAGATGATCCAGCAATTTCACTTCTAAGTATTTGGCCAAATGAGTAAACAACTTATGTCCACACAAAAACCTGTACATGAATGTTGCTAGCAGCTTTATTCATAATTGCCAAAAATTAGAAGCAACCAAGATATCCTTCAGTAGGTGAGTGGATAACCTGCGGTACATCCACACAATAGAGTTTTACTCAACATTAAGGAGAAATAAGCTATCAAGCCATGAAAAGACATGGAGGAAATTTAAATGCATATTGCTAAGTGAAAGAAGTCATTCTGAAAAAGCTATACACTATATGATTACAATTATATGACATCCTGGAAAAGGCAAAACTATGGAGTAGATCAGTGGTTGCCAGGGCTTTGGGGCAGGAGGGAAGGAGGAATAGGTGGAGCATGGGGCACTTTTTGGTCAGAGAAAGTATTTTGCAGTAATGGTGGATATATGACATTATGTATTAAATATTTGTCAGAACACAGAGAACTGTATAATACAGAGTGAACATTAATATAAGTATGGACTTTAGTTAATATTAATAATAATATCAATATTGGTTATCAATTATAACAAGTGTACAATACTAATGCAGGATGTTAATAATAGGAGAAGCTGGGTGCGGGTGGTTTGGGGGAAGGAGGTATTTGGAAACCTTGCAGTTTCTCTGCAATTTTTCTGTAAACTCAAAACTGCTCCAGAAAATTAATCTATTTAAAAAGTGATTTCCTTATATGGGAAAATATGGGGCTTACTTTTTGCTTTTTTTATTCCATACTTGTCTCAGTTTTAGTGGACTCTCTATTGCTTACTTTATAATAAAAATTGTAGACATCTAACAAAACACTCATGCCTACCCCACATTCAATAGTCTCAAGATTCTGCTTTGATTCTCTAAACCAGCGGTCCCTAAACATTTTGGCACCAGGGACCAGTTTCATGGAAGACGATTTTTCCATGGATAGTGGGTGTGGGGAGTGGGGAATGGGACAGGAGGCGGAGCTCCGGCGGTGATGGGAGTGACGTAAATACAGATGAAGCTTCACTTGCTTGACCGCCACTCACCTCCTGCTGTGCGGCCAGGTTCCTAGCAGGCCATGGACAGACACCAGTCCGCGGCCTGTGGGTTGGGGACCACAGCTCTAAACCATAGGTAGAGAATCTTGTTATTTACTAGTAAGTCTTATAACATCATGCTGCCTTGGTGTGTGTTTGTTTTGTTTTGCTTCTCTTAGATTTTTATCATAAGGCTGTAGAAATTTTGAGGAAAACAATGGAATGTATACTTTTTACAGTATTTTATTATCACTGAGCATAGTGCCTAATTACTTTGCTTACATTTTTCCTTTAAATCTGATAATAACTCAATGTTGTAAAAATTAACATCAGTATTTTCATGAGGAATCTGAGGCTAAATTAAGTAAGACACCAATGAATACATAGCTAGTCAATGATAGAGCCAAGATGAAACCCAAGTCTAACTCATTTCAACAGCACTTATTTGTGGTCCGTACTGCACTGTCATGAATGATTAATCTTCATGATTTGTGGTAGATTGCGGTACCCATTTTAGAAATAGTTTTACAAATGACCAATAGCTCACTGTGTTTCACTTATTTTCCTCTCATTTTAATGCCATTTCCTGCCTCCCTCTCCACTTACTCACTTTTTCCACTCAAAAACACATCTCCTAATATAAGATGGTAAGAAAACAGTTCCAAGAATGAGTCAGACTGTCCTCCTGGGAATGAAACAGGCATCTGAGACCGTGTCTTTTAGAATGGGTAATGCCAGCCTTCAGCGTCCAGTGTCATTCCCCACTAAGTCTGGAATGGGTGCTGTTGATGTGCAAATCCTGTAAGGTATGTGGAGGATTCTTGTCCTGCTCCCCACTCTGCCCCATCCGCCCCCCTCCATCTGTCCCACCCATTCTCAGAGGCAAAACCTGGGGTTTGAGACTCACTCTGCTGAAGATACAGGTATGCCATTGACTTGCAGACTCAAGAACCAAAAGGAGATTCTGAACCCATTGCTCAGTAGGGGTCTCGCAACAAACAAACTGCTTTAGGTTTTTCCTGATGAGGACTAGACCTCAGCAACAGGGGTGCCTGCAGTTGCTACCAAGCCCTACTGAACTTGGATATTTCCAATTAATTCCAGAGCTTATAGGATACATTCAACATTCAGACATTTCAGGGTGGAAGGATCACATATATTCCCCAGCCCCTCCTCCCCCCACAAAGAACTGGCTGAAACAACAAAATAATCTATCTAAGACCCTTAAAAATAGTTTATTGTATTCAGAAAAAAATCACAGTTTGAAGAAACCTAAAGCAATAAGTACACAGGAGATGCCCTCATGGAATGTTAAGAACATTCCACAGCAGAGAAAGAATCCTATGGGGTTTATTCCAGAGGCGTTGCATGGTGACAATAAAATGATGGGAAATAGAGGGGAAACAGATGCAGGAAAGGGCAACAGACAGAGAAGCCCATTGGGCGTGGAGCATGGAGCGGTCAGGGAAGGTGTCACCACTCGGGCGGCTCACAGCCTGGAAAATGCTGCAGACGGCTGTTTCCACGGAGGTCAGCGACGGGAGTGTCACCAGCTTTTATTGTCAGCTATTAAAGCAGAAATTTCTCCAGTGGTCTTCTCTCTGAGAAAGGTCACCACCTGTAACAGCACACACATAGTTACTAAAGAGTTTAAGATGAATATTTTGAGCCCTTTCCCTCAAATTACTTTCTTCTCTCTCTTGTCCTTTGACTTTGGGAAAGTCTTTAATATTTGTCTGAACTTTCCAACATGAAATGTATGCCCTGCGCTCTAAGAGAGCATGGATAAGCAACCACACCTCACCTTTTCTTGGAGCTTCCGATTGCACTTTTCAGACTAAGGAGCAAAACCAAGCACTGGCCTCTAAGAGATTTCCATTCCATGCAGTGAATCTATCCTAACCCCGAAGGAGCCAGGCTCTGGAAATGCTTCTGAACTGCCGGCCTGCCTCAGGAAATACAGGCCGGGAAGCGCCACAGCTTGTTTTCCTACATCACTGGGCTCAGTGTTCTGATGTGAAACAGCGGTCGCGGGCACTGGAAATGATTTGCAAGACGGAAGGGGTGGTCTAGGTGCACATCCATGGAAAGGGCAGGAGACCCTGAAGCTTTGGGATGCCAGATGATGCCATTGTCTGATTGGTTTTAACAATGAGAAGTCAAGAGCCTCATCTGTTCCTGCCCTTAAAGGCATCACAAGTCCTCCTCTCCTCCCCCCACTCTGCTCTCCTCCCGCAGACACCTCCATCTAGTCTCCCTCTGACCACACCTGACCCACCTCGGCGTGCTCACAGAGGGCCGCGGCGCTCTGTGGCGTTGCCTTTGCGCACGCCCTTGACGATGAGGACGGTGCCAGCGACGATGCCCACCAGGCCCACGACCAGGCCCAGGGCACACACCACATTCTCCGTGGTCTCTGGGAGCGGCGTTGGCACGTCAAACTCTGGGGGAAATAAGACAGAGTACGTGGCAATGAGTGAGTAGGGAGTAGTACTTAGGGCCAAATGTGGGGTACTTAGTCAAGAGAATGTTAATAGATTAAAGCAGAGGAAGACAGAGTGATGTATTGAAGGAATTGCAGATTAAAGAGTGGAAGAAGCTGAGTAGTGGGGGAAGGCAGGCAGGTATATGAGTTGTGGTGGATGTTATGAAACAGGAAACTCTGGGTTCCAAAGGTCCACACATAAGCATCACAGGAGGGAACCCGAAAATAAAGTAGGCTGAAGGGTGGTCCATACCCCAGTGCTTGATAAGAGGCTCATCCAAGCCCAAGTGCTCCACCTTGCAGTCGTAGAAGTCCTCGGTTGAGGGCAGGAAGGGCAGATAGTGGAACTTGCGGAAAAGGTGGTCTTCCCTGGGCAGGAAGACTGTCTCTGACACTCCTGTGGTGACAGGTTTTCCGTTTTGAAGCCATGTCACCTTAACCACCGGTGGGGAGAACTTGTCGATGAAACAGATGAGGACGTTGGGCTCTCCCAGTTCCACGGGGGCGTTTGTGAGCACAGTCACCTCTGGGGGCACTGGGGGACACAGGACAGAAGTTAGTCTTCGCTGCTTAGGCTTGCGCTCTCCCTCCCATACCGAACTGTGGGACAAACCTATGGAAAGACTCTAAAGCCAAAAACGGTTGAAATTGTGCCCTGAAGAGTCTGTGCCACATTCCCAGAGACCTACCTCTGACACCCTTTCCCCTGAACTGGAGCCAGTAGTGAAGTGTAAGATATCCAAGGACCTGACTCCTGGCCCCCCCAGCACGGACTCGGCAAAATGCCCTGTGAGTGACCATGGATGACAGAGACAAGTTTGAGCACATCAGGAAAGGAACAAACCCATAAAGTTCTTGGGCCTGGGGCATGAACGTTTTGGGCTTATTTATGGCAAGGTTAAGCCCCTGGCAGGAAAAGTCAGTCACAATAATACGACACAAAGAGCGTAAGCATCTACTGAAAGCCTTGGGTGCCCGCGTCCGGGAGCGCAGCAGAGAGAGAGCTACCGTTGGTGTTCGGGGTGTGGTTCGAGCGCTTCATCATGATGTCCAGGTTGGCTTTGTCCACGGCTATGTTGGCCAGTGCACCCTGAGCCTCAAAGCTGGCAAATCGCCCAAATTCCTCAAGCCGCCAGACCGTCTCCCTCTTGTCCATGTCCACATGGAAAATCTCATCGCCATCAAAGTCAAACATAAACTCGCCTGACTGGTCAGGGCCCAGATAGAACTCGGCCTGGATGATCACATGCTCCTCTGGAAAGGCAGGAAAGGGGCAGTCAGGAGGGGGACGGAGAACCCACGCACAGCAGGCAGGGGCTGGGGGAGAGATCCGGCCAAGTGGAATCGGGGTGATCGAGAGTAGGGACGGGTGAAAGGCAAGGCCTGGGCGGGGACAGCGTGCTGGGGGTGGGCAGCGGGGGGTGTTAGAGAAGGTAGACTGAAGGGAGACAAGGGAACGCCCAGTCTTGTGAAGCTGTTGTTTGGCTCCGTTACTAGCCGGGAAATGATTTTCCTTTTAGAAATCCAGCAGCAACCCCTAAAAGAGAAATGTCCTCTCACTCTCCTTACCCAGGCATTCAATACTCTCAGGCCAGAATTCCAGAGCACCCCAGAACATTTACTCCAGGAAGAAACATTGAAAGGTTGGGATTTGACCTCTGGAATCAAATAAAATCTTAAATTCTTATTTGGCCACTTGCCTAGAGCTCTTGAGCAGATTATTCTACCTACGTATGTATAGTTTTCTTATTACATGGTTCAGTTGTGGTTTTGATTCTGTCATATTCTGTCATGGGTTTGTTTTTAAGATTCAATCAGATAAGGTAAGTAATTTCTAAGTATATCCACATGCCTATAACAAGCAATGTTCACAGTTTAGGGTCAGAAACTGCTTTGTATTTAAGGACCAAATCCATAGAAAATATGGATTTTTGAATTTCCTGGGGCCTGAGGTACCCAGGAAATTAAGACTGAGACCTGGCAGTGTTATAGAGTACCTACTTCCCTGGATCCAACCCACATTGTGGATACTTCTGTGAGGATAATCATGTCTGGATTGACCTTGGCAACTTGACCTTTTATCTTAATGCTCTTTCTATTGAGACTGTTATTATGGAACACATTCTATTGTGGTTGATACTGAGAATAACCAACATCATGGGAATAATCGACTAGAACGAGAAAAGCTACAGTTGGAGAGCATGCTGCCTCCATGGTGTGGGGTGGGAGGGAGATTGTGTCCCTCCTCAGTCTTCAAAGATAAGGTGAGAGATCTTAATTTTTGACTGTGTATTGATAAACCTAGGGATTTATTTAGCATTTCAATCTGTGCACACACACACACATGCGCGTGCACACACACACACACACACACACATTCTAGCTACCCTTTTCCATACCAAGAAGGAGCCTCTATCTTTCTAGGTGAGCATCTCCATACATGGCTCTTTCTGGGCAGTAGAAACCTGTAATTGCCATTATGGGTCTGGGAGCCGGGTTATTATTTTGCTTCTTTCCGGTCTACCTGACACCCTCTGTGGGTCACTCTGGGTGAAGAATACTTTTTCACAATACATCTTTACAGCAGCACAGATGTTTGCTCTGGGGATGGCAGAGAATAATGCCAAGTTCCCTATTCCTTATGCATTTTTCTACTCTCTTGAAAATATTACTAAGTAACGGTGAGCAAAGGCCATGTAAGATCTATTGTAGCACAGGGTTGGGGTGGGGGATGGCTAGCACTGTCCCAAGAGGCAGTAAATTAAATGCCACTCGTATCAGCGTGCCTGCACTCCCACCTCCCTTGGATCAATTGCTGCTCTTTGGCAACTTCTTTCTAATCATCTTCAATACAGTGTCTGTGCTCGAAGTATGCTATCAGGATTTACGCGCTAAAAAATATCAACTGTACCATCTATTTATCTTAAGAACAGTGCTAAGAACTTCTCACATTTTTCATTTAATTCTAACAGAATTATATGAGGTTTTTAATTTTTAATTTTACTAATTTTCCAGAAAGAAAAATTAAAGCCCAGAAATATAACTTGTTAATGCCTGTCCGAAAATAATGCCCCCCAGTTTGCCTTATATTTAATATCGAGTCAGTGGCAATAATCAATTTACAGCTCAGTTTTGTTCCTCCAAACTAAATTTGACTTACTTCAGTTTGCAGTGAGGGAAGAACTCCTCCAAACTACAATTTATTACACCTTCAAACTTAGACACACATAATGCCTGTTTCACTTTTCTTTCACTCCAGAGATGTCTTGCAAATGTTTTCAGTTCATTTCTCAAAGGCTTCATAGTCTCTCAGCCCCAGTTTGGATTCTCCCAGCACCTACCTTTGATAGCCCATGATTCCTGAGGGTTCATCAGGACAGCCATGATGAGAAATCCTAGCACAGGGACTCCACTCATGGCCATTTTCTTTTTGGGTGCTTTGATGGGGATCGGTAGAGCTCAGGAGTGAGGCAGAACAAATAAGAATAAAAGAAAAGAGAATGTGGGGTGAGATAGAGTCTGACATGATTAAAATTCAAATCAGTCAAGCTTCAGCCAATCAGAAAAATCTTTTGAGATGACACATCTGTTGCTAGGGGCAGGGCTCTTCTAAACTATCCAGGACAGGAGATACTCTCTCATTTCATTAGAGTAAAAAGTAAAGTTCTTAATCAAACAATTAGAACAACAACAACAACAAAATCAAGCTTTTGAGAAAGCTGGTCAATCACTCACAGACTCTTCCATCCCAATCCAAGTTCTAGAAAGGGATATTCCTAAAGTACACCAGTGAGGCTAGAATCAGCGGGAACGCCCTAAAGTGAGAGCTAAATACTGAGCATGCCTCCGTGCTGCGACAGCTGGGGAGTTTATTGAAGGGACCACAGATCATCCAAACAGAAAGCAGACTGTCAGGCCCCGTGGGGAAAAGCTCCGTATCACTTCATGCTTCTCCAGTGTGCTAGACCCCAGATGACCAACTCGGCCCGAGAGCTTAGGGTGGCTGGCATTGTGCTGTGCTTAGAGAACGCGGGAAGACGCACTGAGTTCCATACTCCTAAAGCTGGAGAAGGATGCGAAGCTAAACCGTGCAACACGGGGAGTGGCTAGTGGAAACAGTGGGCTGTAAAGGGGGTACGTTCTCCTAATCCCTGCCATCTTAAATGTGACCAGAGATTGGAGTTGACACCTCATTTGAAGACTCGGGTCAATGAGTGTGGCCGAGTAAATTGGGCAGAGCTTGTTTCAGCAGGAACATTAAGGACAATAATCCACAGGAGGGCTTTGCTATTCCTTCCCTCCTGTCACAGGATTAGGAAAGTTTTCTCTTGTCATGTGATTATGAAAGTTCTGATCCAAAGAATGTGTTTTGATTTTCACCATAGAGAATACAGAAAGTTAAGAGACTCTCATTCTCATGTTTCTGAAAGTACAGTGCAATAGAAAGGAAAATGTTAAGCCACACATAGAAAGGACTGGAATCCAAATACTTCCAGCGAGGAGTGGCTTGGCAGCGAGGGATGCATGGACTCACGTCAGATGGTGAGTCTGTCGTTCAGTGTCAGCCATCGCGCGCCTACTGGGGGGTCTGCCACACTGCGGGGCTGAGGTCTTACCCTGCGGTGCAGCTGCCCTCGCAGACTCGGAGGCGCACACCCTACACGTTACTGATTACCTGAGCACATCTAAGGGCTCTCAACGTCCCTGACAACAACTCCGAGATCGCTAAGAGGAGGCCCACAGCACAATTCTGTCCTAAAATTTTTCAGGAATACACTTTCTGGAGGCCGGAGAACAGGCCAGATGAGAGTTCTACAGTATCGGTCCGTGCTGAGAGTCTGATCCTGTGATTTAGGCTTGTCATCTCTTTCAGAGGCAAAACCGTGTATAAGTTTTCCGTGTCTACCCTTTGCTGGCCACCATAATGCCTTGTTCTTAAAAAGTGCTTAATAAATAAATGGGAAACTCAAAGACATTTTACATGTCATAATAGCACCTTTAACTCAAGGTGTTGCTCAGTAACTTATGATCTTGTTTAGTCCTAAAACACTGATTGGCTCTCCTGGTGAGATTACTAAATTTGGAAGACTTTAGAAAAGACTTTCAGTTCCCATTCTCTGTAATTGGAGAGAAGTTTCTACTTGGACACGACTCGTGGTTCCCTATTCTCTCCCAAACTCTAACTTCCTGTCTGTTTGAGGGAATTTCCGAGGGCGCCTGCATGAGGTCTTCCTGCTGATATCAAATGAGAGGAGTCACTGTTCCAGTGGGAGTTCAGACAGGAAACAGAAATCCCTGTAGACACTCTGGCCAGGATTGAACCTATTACAAGAATCATCCCTTAAAACCGTTAGGAAGCCTGGAGGAGCACAAGCCAGTGCAGATCCCCAACGTCACAAGGTCAGGAGCCCGCTGGAAGCTTGACATCTGCTGATGTCACGGCTCCTCTAGAGCCCTCAGGGGGTGGCATGTCTTGGGAACACAAGGCTGCTGCCAAAACTCACGTCTGTGAAAAGTTGTGTTCACTGTACGAGATGGCTTCAGCCTAATTTCCACCCCCAAGTCTCACAATATCAAGTTTCACTGGAAAAATGTATGCCACATTCAAAACCTGTGGACAAGGAGAACCTGAGAGATGTAATATTCTTACTTCTGTTCCCTGAGATACAGACAGAGCTATGGAAGTAAATGGGAATTTTGTAAAAATTACTAAATGCAAATATATGTGTGTATATGTGTGTGTGTATTTGTGTGTGTTCATATATGTACATGCATATGTGTATCTCCACCATAGCTCACTCTAGTTCTCCCACAGTGCCAAGCCTAAAACCGGAGGACATATTCTTTCGGAGTAATAGGCTAAGGCTTAGAATTGAGAGAGCTTCCACACTGGGCCCAGATCAAGTGCGAGACCTGAATACTTCATTTGTTCGTGTGGTTTGTGTTCTGAGAACCTCCAGCCCCTTCTTTTAAACCCCCTTTCCCTGTTCCTCTTGTACTCAGGGTCTTCACGGTGTTTCCTCCTGCTGAGGACTCCCTACCGGGGGTGCCGAGGGGATGTGGATCTAGGCGTTTGCTTCCCAACTCAGCACGCAAACAACTTTTCTTCTTTGTGTCACTTCTCCACATCCTGAGAGGTGGCAGAAGCTAGTCTGCTGAAATAAATCTGTTAGGATAAGAACTGTGAACTGTTGCTACCAGCAAAGGTGCTAGGGCGGCGGGCAAAGGCACCTGCCTAGCACGTCCTCTGCGACCAAAGAGCTCCGTGGCGGCTGGGCTCCTCTTCAGCCGGGCGTGACAGCCCGAGAGTTTGATTCATTTTGTCTTCACCTCCACCGACATCTGACGCTTTGAAGACCAGGGTTCTCTTTACACAGACCTCCAGGGGGTAATCCTGCCCTCTTTACTTGGGTAGTCTTTGTTTGGAAACCTTGAATCCACATCCCAGAATGTTTTCCCTGCCAGCCAGCCGCAGGTTCCATCGCTACAACTTGAGCACCTACAGTCAGATTGTTCTATAATCCCCAATTTTCTTAAATTTTCTGGTCTGTTCTAGAAGGCACAAGCTGAGCCTTATAATTGAGAGATGGTGAAGGAAAAGATTAGTTTGAAAAATCACCAAAGAAGCCCAAGGGTGGTTGTATCCAATAGCTGCCCCACGGGGCGATCAATGGCTTGATCCACTCACTCAGCACCTCCCGTTCCTCGGGCACTCTGCAACTTGTTTTCTGTCTGTCATCTCGGCCACTCCAAAGCTGGCACAAATAATTAGGATATAGGACATTCTAATGCAAAATTGTTTTCATCTTCTGGAAAAGTGCACACTCTCACCTGTGCATCCTCCCAGTAATAGGGAATAGGGAGTGATTTTACTCAACTGTCCATGTAGGACAGTCTAGAAACTGCAACTTTAAATATCATGCTCTGTTGCATGAAGTGTAAAGTGTGGAACCTCATCGAGGCCTGAACAATTTTATGGAATTCAGATGTGTTTGTGTGCATTCACCTGTGTGTGCGCGCATGCATGTGTGTGTGTGTGCATACACCTGTGTGTGTGTGTGAGTGTGTGTGCATACATCTGTGTGTGTGTGTGTATGTTTGTGTGCATACACCTGTGAGTGTGTGTGTGTGTGCGTGTGCGTATTGGAGAAGGAGAGCTGGAAAGGTCTCTATTTTGAATGAATATAATTTACATAATTTTAATATACTCATTAATTCTTTAAATACTGTTTGATCACATTCTATATTTAAGGTACTATTTTTAATTGGTTTTTGAGAACATCTGAAGCATACAATTGTAACTGCTATAATAGATTGGATAAGCACTAAGCAAAATTTCTAATCATGCTGAAATTCACTGTGTCTGCTGTCACCCCTCTAGAGATTCTCATTGGACATGCTATCCTTCTGCTGTTGGGGATATCACATGAATTATTTGGCCAACTTTAATTAACATGTCATGCTATAATTCTATTATGTTGCACAAACATGTCTTAATTCAGCAATCAGGTTATTTGGAACTACATAATATTTGAACATCCCAACTTGATTTCAGATAAATCTTTTTCCATCCCCTGCTGGAAATTTTTGCAGCAAATTTTAAGTTTGGTTTTCCTTCCTTCTCACATTCTAGTTGGAGCTTTGAGGCTATGGCCCATCTGGGGTGGTTCAGGGAGAGGCAGAAAGAGTAAAAGGCCAAACACGCGTTACTGGAAGTGAAATGTTTGTGTTCTCTGGATGTAGAAGATGCTCACAGCAACTCGTTTCTCTTGCACTTGCTCTTGTAGGCTCTTCACATTCCCTCATGCCCATGCCTGGTGTGCAGGAAGCACTTCATGCCCACAAACTCGGGGAGTGCAGACCATTCCCACTGCAGTCTCCCTTCCCAGCCCCACCGCCAGCTGCTGCACCTAGCCTGCCCTCTAGGCTTCTGGCGGCATCGGGAGCCCATTCTGGGTCTACAACCACTCAGCTTCGTGTCAGACAGAAGAGACTTGGGTTCCCCTAGAAACAGTTTCACTAACTTCCAGACAAGTAAGTTCATCCTTTTCCCATATAATTTGGGGTAGAAGATAGAATTCACAGTGAGGAGCAGATTTATTCCAGGATCTCACAAATCTGTTCCGTCCTCTAGGCTCTCTGACCACCCTTCGCTCAGTGAAGAGAGAATAGCAGAAACTTGTTTTTCCTGTTATTTCATTTGTGAGTTCTGCAAAAGCAGTGAGGAACAGTCCTGTAAGTCCATTGATATCTGCGTTAATGGCCCCTTTGTTGAAATTTTGGGAAGACCATTTTTTTAAAAAAAAATCACAAACATTATATGAACAAGTACAAATTACAGTCATTGTCTGTCACTTGTCATGTAGGCATAATTATAACACAGTTTAGGAAACGGACATAGAACTAGCAATGTGAGTTGTCTTTCTTGGTCCAATTTTCTTACAGGATAATAGGGAAGAGTAGGTTTATAACACGGTTTATGTTAGATTAAGCATTACACAGGGTCTGTCTGTTAAGGAATAAATCTGA